AAAAAAAAAAAAAGAAAAGAAAAGAAATTAGCTCAGTTTTCTCATATGTAAAAAGGGATTTGAACAAAGGAGTTCTAAGGTCCCTTAGAGCTCTATTTCTATGGCCCTAGCTAACCTTTCGTTGCTTTTTTTTTGTTTTTTGTTTTTTTGGTGAGGCCATCAGGGTTAAGTGACTTGCCCAGGGTCACACAGCTAGTAAGTATCAAGTGTCTGAGGCTGGATTTGAACTCAGGTTCTCCTGACCCCAAGGCTGGAGCTTTATCCACTGCGCCATCTAGCTGCCCCAGAAATCTTTCTCAAATGCACCACACATTCCCTTTCCTTCCACGAACTCAATCAACTGAATGATCCCTAGTCTTCCTCTCTAGTACCAAAATGGAAGATGGTTTGCTCCTATATTTGTTCTTGAGTTGTGCTGTCTCATAGAGACCACAGATTTAGAGGATTTAGACCTAGAAGGGACCTCTGAGGCATTTTAATCCAACTTCCTCATTTTACAGATAAGGAAACTGAGAACAAGAGAGGTTAAGTGACTTGTCCAAGGCCACAGAAGTAATAAGCATCTGATGTAGGACTTGAACTCAGAACCTGTGACTCCAAGGTCAGTGTCAGGATGCCAACGGCTATCCTTTCTCCTGCTTCTATTGTATCTGCTTCTCACTGGTCCTTCCCAAGGGCCCTTCTTACTATTTCCAACCTGCTATGGGGTGGAAACTCAGACAGCCAAGATAATTCAGCACTGGCCTAATGGATGATGTGTATCTGCTAATAACCTCCTGCTTCTGGGGCAGCTAGGTGGCGCAGTGGATAGAGCACCAGCCCTGAAGTCAGGAGATCCTGAGTTCAAATGTGGCCTCAGACCAAACACTTGACACTTACTAGCTGTGTGACCCTGGGCAAGTCACTTAACCCCAATTGCCTAAAAAAAAAATAATAACCTCCTGCTTCTGGACCATCCCTTATACCAATTTCAGAATTTGTCTCACTGCATCCTCACAACAGCCCTGGGATGCAGGCGCTATTATTATTCTCATTTTACAGGCAAGGAAACTGAGGCAAGGAGAGGTGAAATGACTTGTCCAAGGTTACAAGGCTAGTAAATATCTGAGATAGAATTTAAACTCAGGTCTTGCTGATTCTCTGTCCACAATGCCATTAATAGAACAATAAAGCAATAACAATACTATGTTACATCTGTATAGTGCTGTAAGATTTGTAAAGTACTATTACCTGCATTATCTAATTTGGTCATCATAATGACGTAAGTAGGTGGCATTGTAGATGGAGGCAGGGCCTGGAGGCAGAAGACCCAGGTTCAAATCCTGTGGGTGACTTACCCTCCCCCACCCCCAAAGCTGCATTTTTTTAATCTATAAAATGAGGGGATTGGACCAGGGGTCTCTGACCTGAGGTCCCTTTCAGCTCAAGTTCTATGATCCCATCATGCTGGGCCTTTAAATATACAAAAAATTGCCACTGAGCTTCTGGTATTCCTAACCCTCAAAGACGCTAGTTCATAGGCTTTAGAGTGGGGAAGGCTCTTCAAGATCATCGAGCCCAAGGTCCTTATTTTACAGAGGAGGAAACTGAGGCATAAAAAAGTGACTCACCCAAGGTTATAATACAGTAAGAGTTTGGGATCTGAACCCAGGTCTTCCTACTCCAAAGCCACTGTTCTTGACCACACCACAGAACAAGGAAGGCACCATGGAGCTTGGGGAGAGGGGTTCAGAGCCCACCTTGGACTCACGAGCTGTGTGACTTCACCTCTCTGACCCTCACTTTGTTCATCTGAAAAATAGGCATGATAATCTGGGCACCTTCATCACAGCAGGGTGGAGAGGATCCAGGGAGGCCATGTATGGAAAGGCAGTTTTGATTCTCAGAGGGATGTACCAGCGTCAGCTAGTCAAAGGAGCTGGAGTGGGAATGCTCCCGGATTGATTCTTTGTATTGATGGCATGGCCCGAGGACCAGAGCAATTAGACTGGCAATCCTTGCCCTCCATTATTTATTCTATTAAGAGACGAGGAGTTCATAGAATGTGAGCCCAGAATTCAAAATCAGGCGGGCTCACCCCTCCGTGGCCCTGTCTTCAGGGTAACTTCTTTGGCATTCGGTGCAAAGATCTCCTTCCCGGGCTTCTAAGGGACCCCCAAAGAGATCATCCGAGCAGGCCTCCCAACAGAGAAGGGGCCGAGCATCCCAGAAAAGGCTGAGAGCCCGAGAAATTCAGCAGAGAATAATGAGCAAACAGGGTATAAAGCACTTGGTAAGAGAGAGGATGGCATTGGAAATGAATGGCTGCTGTATGAAAACAAGGGCTTTGGTGAGCACATACAGATCCTCCCATCTCCTAATTACACAGCTACCTGAAGAAGGAGAGCCACCTCCACACCTGGCAGAGAATCGCAGATGAACACAATGCCTGGGCTAGTAGGGCCCTCAGAGTATCTAACAGCAGAGCTGAAAGGGGCCTCAGAATGGGGAATGTCAGGGCTGGGAGGGGCCTTAGAACAGAGAGCATCAGAGCTGGGTAGGGGGCCTTAGAACAGGGGATGTCAGGGCTGGGAAGGGCCTTAGAACAGGAAATGTCAGGGCTGGGAGGGGGCCTCAGAACGGGGAATGTCAGGGCTAGGAGGGGCCTTAGAACAGGGAATGCCAGGGCCGGGAAAGGCCTTAGAACAGGGGATGTCAGAACTGGGAGGGGCCTTAGAACAGGGGATGTCAGGGCTGGGAGGGGCCTTAGAACAGAGAGTATCAGAGGTGGGGGGTGCTCCTTAGAACAGAATGTCAGAGCTAGGAGGGGTCTTAGAACAGGGACTGTCAGGGCTTGGAGGGGCATTAGACAGGGGATGTCAGAGCTAGGAGGGGCCTTAGAACAGGAAATGTCAGACCTAAGGCCTGTCTTAGAACATAAAACATAAAATGTTGATAGCCTGAAATGATCTTAGAACATATAATGTTTGAGCTAGAAAGGCCTTAGAACATAAAACCTTATATGTTCCAAGCTGCAAAGAGCTCTGGAACAATAAATCTTACAAGCAGAAGGCTCTTTGTGTTACCACTTCCCTTCCAAAGTCACAGACTCAGAGTCTCATAGCCCTAGAATCGGAAAGATCCTTGGGGGCCAGCTAGTCTAACCCCTTCTTTTTACAGAGGAAGAAACTGAGGCCCAGGGAAGTTGAGCGAGCATCAGAGGCAGGCTATGAACCCAGGTCCTGGGATCCCAGTGTCCTTTTCATCATACCGTGCTGCCTCCCCAGCCATCGCTTTAATAATCCCTTCCAAAACTCTGTCCAGGAATCAAAGTCAAGATCACTAATTCGCTCCTGGTTTGCAGACTCTGTTCTCTTTGCTGTGTTTTTCCGACTATACCTGGATTTCCTCTCCTTTATCAAAATGTCAGGGATGAAAGGGACCTTACAACAAAGAATGTGAGAAATGGGAGGGGAGATGTTTCCCTTCCTTCTCCCCTCTGTCAAAATGGATCCATCTTGGGGTGGGGGCAGTCTCTTTTATACGTGTGGGTGACAATGACTAGTAAATGTTAACACCAGCCCACTGGATATGCTGGGAAATATTTAACAACTGGCTCCTATAAACACAAGTGAAGCCCTGATGTGTAGCTATTTGCCAATTTCCAAGATGTAAATGCTCACACCAAAAAATCACCTATCGGCTCTCCTTCAGGATGAGCCGGGCCGTAGCACACCCCAGTTACCTAATCATCAGTGAGTTCCTGACTTGCTCTCCATCCAGCAAACAGAGGGCCTCCCCCAAGGTAAAATGCAAGACCTTCCCCAGAAGACCTCCTCAGGAGTGACCTCACTGGTGGGAAGTTCTTGGACTAGAGCAGCCGATCAAGAACACACTTTTTGGACAAGGGGACTTGTGGGACCCTCTGATTGAACTCAGTTTCTGCTCCCTGCCTCAGATTCCAGTCAGCCTCTAATTCTCTGAGTGACCTCAGATCGAGACCCTTGCCCTCCTCAGGCTCCCGCGTGCTTAATTGTGAAAGAGGAGGTTGTTTTAAGTTGTTTTCAAGGCTTTTTTCAGCCCTGACATCCCCTTTTCTCAGGCCCCTCCCAGCCTTGACATCCCCTGTTCTCAGGCCCCTCCCAACTCTGACATTCCCTGTTCTCAGGCCCCTCCCAGCTTTGTATTCTAAGCTTTAGCTCACTTCAGGTTCTTTCTTTTGACAATCCATTTTGTAAAAACCCTTTTGCGGATCAAGTCCAGTAAGTCTAGTTCTACAGAGGGCTAAGGGAAGCTCCCTCTGGATGTTTACATTCATTGTGAACCAATAGAAAAGGGCCTGACGGACAGGGTCCCTCTCTGTGCTGATGACTGCAGCCTCAGGGAATCGCGAGTGATACCATTTCAGGCTCGGAAGGAGGCGGGGAGCTGAGAGTCAACAAGATGCCAGCTAACGGTGAAATATCCTCCTTTGTCAAGGACCACGCTGAGCACCCTGGTCAGGAGGGTGTGCCCTGGAGAGACCCGGCTGGTGATGGGCCCTCCCTGCATGGTCCTTCCCACTCCCCAGGCCGCAGGTGCAGGCCATTTGGCCGGGGTCAGACACAATCCCTGGATTCACGACGGAGTTCACCTCCACCCAAGGTGGCTGGTCCAGCTGAAGCCTGATTTGGACCTCCTTAGCCCCGCTCTAACAAAGGAGCTCCCAACTCCGAGCCGCCCCACATCTAGGCAAAGGACCCAAAGCGTGATGTTTGGAAGCTGCTGCTCTGTTATCAGGGTTATCCCGAGGAGACACAAGGGATAAGAAGAATTTGGAGCTCTGGTCACTCAGAGCCGGCAGGACCTCAGGGGCAATCCAGACCAGCCCCTGCATTTCTAGGGAGAAGGAAACAGGTCACAGATGGACCAAGGGGCTAGAGTCCCAGAAGCCAGTTCCCTCTGCATCACCTCCATTAGAAAGAATGCTAGACTCAGGGTCAGAGGACCCAGGTTCAAATTCAGGCATTGCTCCTTGCTCCTTATGTGACCAGTGAGCTTTCACCAATAAACAAGGAGTTTGAATTTAGCTGACCTTTGAGATCCCTTCTAACGCTGAATAGGCTTATTAGGAGAAAGAGGTAAGGTGAGGCATGGAAAGGAGTTTTGCCTTGGGTGCCCCTCCACCAAAAAAAAAATTCTCCAGAGTGACAAGCCTGGATACCACCAAATCACGCTGGGAGACAATCCTGCCATTAAATGCCTGTTCCAGGCCAGGCTGGACCCAGAGCATGGAGGATTGGATCCGTCCCCCACTTCCTCCTGACCATGGAGCTCCTTGTGCCTCCTATCTGATGGTATCTAATAACAACATTGACCTTTTCTGCCTGTCAGACATGTCTGATTCAGCCGTGAGGTCTTAACCGAATTTGCACACAGGCTCTGACAGTTTACCCAGCCGAGCACGTGTTCATGTTTAATTCATGCCATGACGGAGCTTCCCGGCTAATGCATATTTATCAGCTTTTTCATAAGAGGCAGGATGGAGTTTACTTTCATTGCCCCCAAAAATCTTTGCCGCAGCAAACCACGTTTGTGAGAGAATTTTAAAAGTCACCCCTCCTCCCCCACCTCAGAATCAAAATCTGAACCACTTGGATTTTTCCACTCGCCCAAGTTTGTTTTTGCCTCAAACCAGAGGGACTTTGATCCTTGTGGGCCCAAGGATGAAACTAAAGGGCAGAGGGACCCCTGGCATGGGAGACACGAGACCTGGGCCGGAACCAAGGGGCGGCTGCTGGGCTGGAGGCCGAGGGCGGCGGGTGAAGCCATGGCTCTGTAGCTCACAACTGGGGGGACGGGAGGGAGCAGAGGCATCCCTCATCACATCAGTTTCCTCTGCGCAATATAAAATTAAGTTAAAGGATTTGACTAAATGTTTTAAAAGACCTTTTTACCTCCAGTGTTATCTGTCCTAGGGTCCCTCCCAGCTCTGACATTCTCTGTTCTAGGGTCCTTCCAGCTCTGATATTCCATGTTCTAAGACTCCCCCCAGCTTAACAATGATGACTCTGTGATTAATAATCACAACTCGATCCCCGGGCATAGTTAAAGCAATTGGTGATCCCCCAATGATAACGCTAATGAGTGAGCTTTGGGGCAAGGAAGAGATCAAAGTTCATGGGGACAATAATAGCACTTTGCCAAGCTTGAAGTGGTAGAAACATGTTAGCTATGATTACCATAACCCCACTATCCTCCTCTCCTCGTCCTCCTCCTCCTCCTTCTCCTTCTTCCCCTTTACCATCTTATCTAACTCCCTCATTGTACATAGGACACTGAGCCCCAGAGAGAGGGATGTACTTGTCCAAACATGGGCAGGTAAGAATTCAAATCCTGACCTCTGCCCCCACGGCCTCTCAATGAAATTCTTTTTTCACACCCAACAGCAGCTCTCTGATTCAGCATTTCCAGAGGCTCACCCGATGCTTTTATAAACATGATCACTTCTAAACTTTACAATGACCCTGTCAGGTAGGTATTATCCTCATGAAGCCCAGAGAGGTTAGGTGACTTGTCCTTGGTCACACAGCAAGTGAGTGTTAAGAGTTGGTTTTAAGCCCAATACTTCTTCTACCTCCAGGTCTAGCCCTTTTCTCTCCTCCCAGGCTCTGGACTGGTGAGAACCTCTGCTCAACCCTCCAAGTCAACTCCTCTGCAGCCCCAATCCCTCCACGCAGTATCCCATACCTTCCTCTCCTCCATCCTCTCGTGGGGCAGCAAAAGCTTCTTCATAAACTCTGGAGCCAGACCTTGGAACTGCCGCCGGAATCGGGTGAAGCCCATGTGGTCCGTGTAACCTGGGGGAGGGGGGCAAAGGGAAACGGGGCAGTGAGCCAGATGGAAAGTCCAAGAAGTCTGCTACCAGCCTAGTACAACCCACAAACTGATAGGGACACAAAGAGAAGGATTCCAGTAGGGCCTGAGTAAGCAGGGAAACCTCCCTGGAGGAGGCGTGCTTGGAGACGGTCCTTGAAGGTGGTAATGGGTATAAACTGATAGAGGAAGAAGAAGGCAGAGAACATGGAACAGGAAAAAAAAAGCCTAAAGAAGCAAGAAAAAAGGCCTGGGTTCAAATCCCACCTCTTACACAGATTGCGTGACCTTGGAAAAGTCACCATGTCTGGTTCTCGTGACCTCCCAGGTTCCTTCCATCTCTAAAAGTCTGTGACCCGGTGATATGGGTGTCCTCCACGTCCACAGGGGACAACAGGGGACAACAGAGATAGTATCTATCAGTCATCCAGCACGATAAGGCTTGCAAATACTTTAGAACTATTATCTCATTCAATCTTCACAACAACCCTGGACAATTTTTTTTAGATTTTCAGTCATTTTTCAGTCAAGTTCAACTCTTCATGACCCCATTTGGGGTTTTCTTGTCAAAGATACTAAAGTGTTTTGCTATTTTCTTCTCCAGCTCATTTTACAGATGAGGAAACTGAGGCAAAAAAGGTGAAGTGACTTGCCCAGGGTCACACAGCTAGTAAGCATCTGAGGCTACAGTTGAACTCAGAAAGATGAGTCCGGCATTCTATCCACAGTGCCACCTAGCTGTTATTACCCCTCATTTTATGGTTGAAGAAACTGAGGCTGATAAAGTTTAGAGGACTTGCCCAGGGTCACACTGCTGATAAGTGTCAGAGGCTGGATTTGAACCCAGGACTTCCTAACTCAAGCCCAGCATCCTATCGACCCTCCATGAGGCAGCTCTATCTCCAAGCATCACACTAGTAGCCACATTTTGTCACCAGGCAATGGTCCCAGGCACTAGATGAGTTCACCAGTAGTGGGTGGTCTGTAAATGCCTTCCTCAGTGACATTTTCTTTCCTTATCCCACTTGAAGTTCTGCAGATGAGGGGAAATCAATAAGGGAGTGCAGCTCTGTCCTTGTTTGAACAGTGCCCCCAACGAGTTCGCCAAAAAATACCATTGAAGTGTGTCTACTAGGAACACGACAGTGAGGCGGAAGGTGGAGGGGAGGGCAGCGTCCAGGCCAAATACTAGAACATCATTCCATGTCTGCGAGTGTCTACCTTTGCTTGGGCTCCAACAAATAGGTGCCCAGCCCAAAGCATCATACCCAGAGTCCAAGAGCTGCAGAGTGGACCTGTGGAAGGAGCCCTGGATTGGAGGCAGAGGGCCTGGGTTCAGATCCCACTTTTGACTCCTCTTATAGACTGGACCTCAGTTTCCTCCCCTCTGAAGTAAAGGGGTCAGAGTAGCTGACATCTGAGGTCCCTTCCAGCTCTGGACCTATCTATGATTCTAGGAATTACCAGTTGTGTGACCCAATTAGACCAATGATTTGTCTTCTCCATGCCTCAGTTTCTTCTGCTGTAAAATGAGAGGCTTAGACCAGAGGACCTCTAGGGTCCCTTCCAGCGCCAGATCCATGAGCCACTGATGATCTTATTATTTTCAGTCATGCCTGAGGCCAATATTGATTCCCAAGGAGAAATCATGGCTTTAAAGTCAGAAGAAATCCTCACAATCACCTTGCCCAGACCCCCTCATTGGAGAGAACAGGGAACTCCAGCCCCAGAGACCGGGACCAAGAAAATTGGAGGCAAGTGAACATCAGAGCCGAGGTTCCAAGCCAGACCTCGGACCATAATGGATTTGGTGTCAGAGAGCCCCGGGATCTGATGCAGCTTCTGACACTGGTCAGGATCTCAGCCTGCATCGGTGAAGGGCAGTCTCGGTCTACAGAAATCAAAGGTCTCTGGAGCACTTTTGGTTCTGGCCCGGCCCTTCCAGCCTCTTCTCAGACGCTGATCAGAGACTCAAATACCTTCAACGGGAAGCCCTTCCTCTTCCGCCAGCTGCTAGACCCTTCTTTTAAAGGTCACCTTCCATCTGTTCCAAATGTTTCTATGTGGGCCTTTTCTTTGACATGTTATCTCACAATTAGAATGCACTTTCTTTGAGGTGATGGGCTATTTTTGCCTTATACAATCATGAGATCATAGCTTTGGAGCTAGAAAGCATCTTAGAGGCTGTAGAGACCAGCTTCCACATTTTACAGATGAGGAAACTGAGGTTAAGTGACTTTCTCCAGGTCAAATCCTGAGGAAGGATTTGAATTTGGGTTTTCCTTGCTCTAAGTCTAGACTTCTATCCCCTATATCTCCGGATGCTTGATAAATACTTATTACTGGTTGATTGATTGATTGCAACCTATAGTCTTAGAGGTACTCCTCAGGCCCTTTGAGAAGTGACTTGCCCAGGGTCACCCAGCCAACGGGTTGTCAGGTGTTTCTGACTGCGAGGCTGGCCTTCCATCCACCCCATCTGCAAGCCTTGCATTTTTCTGAGGAAGCCTGACTTTCAGTGGGGGCAGGGGAAGCATCCAATGTGGAGTGGAATGGCGTGGCCCCAGTCACGGCTGTGCCCCTCCTCGCTATAGGACTTTGGGGAGCTCATTTCTCTTTCTCTGGGCCCCACTTCCCTCACCCATAAGTGAGGGCGTTGGACTAAATTGGCTCTGAAGTCCTTGGAATCTTATGATTCTATGAATCCACAGGGAATCACTGCAGCACAGAAGGATCAAAAGACTGGGCTGAGCTCCAATCAGGACAGGGACAGAGAGAATGCCTGTGCCCTGGGCAGGGACCAAGGACTGCCCCCAAGAGGTGAGGAGCACCTACTATGTGCAGAGCCCGGGGAGTTGGAATGTAAGGTGTAGACTTGGCGCAATGGGTGGACAGATAGCTCTGAGTCAAGGACCTGAGTTCACATCCTGCCTCTGACCTGACCTGACTGTGACTTTGGGCACTCAGCACAAATGGACTGGGTCCATGTGTGGGGAAGTCTGTGAAAGGAGAGGGCTGGATTCCCTCCAGCTGTGGATCTACGAGCCTGGGGACCTCTTGGGGAGAGGCCTGAAGGGGAGAATGCCACCATGCACCATGCAGACCAAGGAAGGCTCGCTGGAGGGGGCGGCATCTGAACTGGGCTCTAAAGGGTGGGCATTTTGGTTGTAGAAAAAAGCCTGAGCGAAAACCTGGAGGCAGATGGGTGCAGCGGCTGGTGTTCAGCAGGGACAGGGGGATGCCCTGTTTGACACAGAGTCCCATGAGAAAATCCTGGAAGGTTAAGGCAGTATCAGCGTGCTGAGGGCCTTGAAAAGCAGGCACAGGAATTTACATTTTTCTGGAGAGGCAGTAGAGATCCACTGGTGATTTCTGAGCACAGGAGTGACGTGGTCAGAGATGGCTCTTCTTTCAAAGGGTTATTTGCGGAATCAAATTCAGGCTTACTAGGGACAATGACAGAAGTCCCAACGTTTATATAACTCACATTATCTCTTATGATCTTCTCAGCAGCCCTGTGAAATAGGTGCTATGATTATCACCATTTTACAGATGAAGAAACTGAGGCAGAGAGCCTGGACCAGCGGCACACAGTTCCCTTTTACATGGCGGCTTCCCCCATAGAATGAAAGCTCCTTGAGGGCAGGACCTGTCCCTTCTGCTCATATTGTTATTCCCAGCACTTAGCACGGTGCTAGGCACAGAGGTGGGAGAAGAAGGCCAGGTTTCTCTCCACTACGTACACGATGTTGCCTCCTCACTGGCTGGTGTTTATAGTAGAGAGTGTATTAGAATGTTTACTGAGGACTCTTCATACAGAATCTCATGTGGACTCACAGCTGCTTTGTGAGGTAAACACTGCCAATATTATCATGCCCATTTCACAGATGTAGGAACTGAGGCTGACAGAAGTAAAGAGAGTTGCTCTTGCTGTCATGGCTAGCGGCTATATGGAGCAAAATTTGAATGCAGGTCTTCCTGACCCGAACACCACACCCTATCCTCCATGCTGCCCTTCTCCCTACTTTTCTTGGTAGTAAATACCCTTCTCTCAATGCCCCGTGTCTGTGTCTATTGTCCAGCAGCCCCTCTTCTGCCTTCTTCCTTAGCCCAGAGGCTTCTCCTGTGTCTATGGCTCCCAGTGGCCCTTGGACAAGGGGAACCTTCAACCAACTCTGAAGGGAGAGCAGCAAGATTCAGCTAGATAGAGTGATGGGTCCTGTAGTCAGAGAGACCTGAGTTCAAATCCAGCCTCATACACTTACTAAGTCTGTGACCCTGGGCAAGTCACTTAACCTGCCTGCCTCAGTTTCCTTAACTATAAAATGAGGATAATAAGATCATCTACCTCCCAGCGTTGTTGTGAGGATCAAATGAGATAATATTTGTAAGAAGCGCTTAGCCCTGGCACATAGTAGGCACCGTAGAAAGCCTATTCCCTCGCTTCCCTCCCCTTCCTGCTCAGGTGGCCCAGCCAGCAGACAGTGGCCTCCTTGCCTGAGTGACTTTACAGCGGCCCCAGGGGACCATGCAACAGTTCTCTGGCACCAACCCCCGCTGAATCAGCTGGGCAGGGGCGGCAGACGCTGCAGGGAGCCAGAACGCAGCAGAGCAGTGAGACTGGGCTCAGCAGCTGCAGAGGGAGGGAGGAGGAGCTGTCCAGCGGCACAGGCTGCCTGGTCCCCGGGGAAGGGTGACATTCAGGCCCAGGGCTCCCTGGTTCTCTGAGCAATGCCGTCTCCTGAAGGATGCTACCAAAAGAGATGTTGAAAGGGGGAGGAGCCAGAAACAGGGCAGAATGACCCTGGACAAGTCACTGCCCCCTCTCAGAGCCTCAGTTTCTTTATCTCCAAGATACACCCTGTGGCTGTTGTCAAGAAAATGTTTTGTAAATCCTAAAATGCTCCAGAAATGGAACATATTATTGTATTAGGTCCTAGCCCTGAATCAACCAGTATTCCAAGCAAGTTTGGGCAGGTGGCTCAGACTTCATGGGCCACAGTTTTCTCCATAAAATCTAGATCCTGGTAGACTTGATTTAGAGGAATCTGGTCCAATCCACTCATTTTATAACTAAGAAGGAAAAGTGACTTGTCTATACAGGTTGCCAGCAGCAGAACTGGGATTTCAGTGCAGGGCCGCTGATCCCACAGTCAGCCTTTCTTTTCCACAGTCCCACACTACCCAGGTAATTCCCAGGGTTGTCAGTTATTCAATCAACAAACACTGAACTTTCTGAAAGGCACAGCAAGGAGATATCAAGGTCAGGATGTCAGTGGTGACAGCCCAGTAGTGAAGTGGACACAGCACAGACTGGGCTTGCAGTTGGAAAGACCCTGGGTTCAAATCCTGCCTAATTTCCCTCTCTCAGCTTCACCTTCCTCTCTGTAAAATGGGAATGATAATATCCCTCTGCCAGACATGGCCATCATAAGGACCAAATGATATCATGTGTGTAAAGCATTTTGGTAAATTCTAAAGCACTACTGGAATAATTTTTTAAAAAAAACCCTCCTCCCCATAAATAAAAAACAAAAAATAACCACCCCCATTTAGCAGAGCTCTAGTGCTGATGGAAACAGCAGAGTCTTTCCTTGTCCTGGCATTGGAGACCAGGACAGCGTGGCTCCTGGCCCTGAACAGCTAGCCCCTTGCCACACAATTTCCCATCCTGCACTCTGGGTTACCAGCTGGATTTAGGAGCTCATCCCAAGTACCATCTCCCTGCCTCCAGCTTTCAGGATCTATATTTTCCTTTGAGGCTCAACTGAGGCACCGCCTCCTCTGAGGAGCCTTTCCAGACTCCCCTGGGGTCCCCAAAAGGGTCCCTTTCATCCTTAGATATTCCTCGAACCCTTTGTCTCTGCCTCACCTTGAGCTCCCCTTCCCCTCTCCTCTTCCCTCCCCTTGCCTCCCTCCCCCAGTAGTCAGTGGGCTCCTTGAAGGTAGGGATTGGTCTATTTTTATCCTTGACTTCTTTAAGACTGAACTCAACGGTCTCCTTTGTCAGGAGGCCTTTGCCAGTCACCTCTCCCCCCAAGCTGCCGTTGCCTTAGCCTCTAAGGCTACTTTCCATGTGCTCTCTACGTGTCTGGTATTTGACTAGTTGTTGGCATTTTGTCTCCCCCATTAGACTGTGAGCTCCTTGAAGGCAGGGGCTGGCTTTTGCCTTTCTTTGTATCCCCAGCACTTAGCACAGTACCTGGCACAGAGTAGATGCTTAATAAATGCTTATCAGCTGACTGACCAATACTTTGCTTTATAATTAATATGTATTAATATGAATAATAATAAGTATTTATTAACTTTATAGTGATGCTATATACATTTTACAGGGGCAGTTAGATGGCTCAGTGGCTAGAGCAGCCATCCTGAAGTCAGGAAGATCCGAGTTTGAATCTAGACTCAGACACTTACTAATTGAGTGACCCTGGGCAAGTCACTTAACCTTTGTTTGCCTTAATCCACTGGAGAACAGAGAACCACTCCAATGTCTTTACCAAGAAAACCCTGTGGACCCTGGAGGTCACCAAAAGTCAGACACAACAGAACAACAGAACATTTTTCTATGCTCTTGTCTTCTCCGTTAACTGTAAGCAAGGATTGCTCCATTCTGTGTCCTACCATTATCCCCAATGCCTAGCACAGTGCTGCGCACATAATAGACATTTAATAGATGGTCATTGATTGGTTATTTTGCATCCCTAGCACCAGATCTGCCTTGACCATAACAGGTACTTAGGAAATGTTTGTGGAAATGAATCAAAGGCGGCTGCTACCCTCATAGGGCTTATAGACTAATAGAAAAATCTATATTCTATTAGAAGAATGAATTTCAGTTTCCGAGCCTGTAAAAAAGGAGGCCAAGCTCAATGTTCTCTAACATCTCTTTCAGCTTGACCCTCCTGATCCCGCCGATGAGCCTGCTTTGAAGGGCTAATGCTCCATACACATCAGGGGCTCTTGGGGCTGGGGGATTCTCCTCATTATTCCCCGAGCAGGGCCACTTACCAATCCGGTGCAGCCTTAGGGCATCTAGGACCTGAGCTCCAGCCAGCTGGACCCTCAGGATGGAGATGTCCATGGGGTGCTCCCTGTGGGCTGGTGCCAGGGAAGCGTTCCCTCCTCTGTCCTCTGATCCTGATCTTGGGACCAGACAATGGATAAAATGCAACTGGGACCGTTTGATCACATTGGTCAAAGCATCCTGGGGCACAGAAGGAGAGAGAGGTCAGGGCTAGATGTGACTCACAGGAAGAGTTAATTAGGGGAAAGGAGGGATGGCTTTCAATTTGATTCAACAAACATGTATTAGGGATGGGTACTATGCTCCAAGGTGCTCAGATACAAAGATTTAGCTAAACAGTCTCTGCCTTCTGGGAGCCTAGATTCCCAGCTCCCCTCCCCGTCCTCCAGACACCTCCACTGCTTCACTGGAAGTTTTCTTGCCCTGCAGATGCCTCCACCAGGAGATCCCTCCTCCAGAAGAGCACGTCCCTACTCTGGACCACAAGGGAAGAGTTCTACCTCACAAGTTTTTGCCACACTGTTCTCCCTCTCCCCGAAAACCACACACCAAGAGTCAAACCCACCCAGAGAACAAAGACGCTCCAGGCTGGAGAAAAAGCTAGAGGACATTCAGTTCAATCACATCACTTTACAGAGAAGGAAAGCTGAAGCTGTGACTTGCCCAAGGTCCCGTTGTGAGGTCAAGCCTGGCCCGGGACAACTCATGTCTTCTGACAACTGCCCAAGGTGAATTGTTGTTTGTCCTTCATTCTCAAAGAGGGCCATGACATCAGGAAGGCTGTCATGATGTGCAAGTGAATTGGATTTAAGTGAGGCAGGGCTGTGCAAGGTCAACAGTCTCACCTTCTCCTCTGGAGCCATCTGGGTCCAGTGGCCAGATAGAGATCAGGAGGACTGGAGATGGCCCCAGAGGGACCTCAATGGCTGACAAGTTGAACCCAGGCCCAGAAAAGAAACCTTTCTACAACACATCCAATAAGTGGTGATCCAGCCATATTATTATTATTGATAATAACAATGACAGCTAGCATTGATGTAACTGCTTTTTTGGTTTACAAAGCACTTTAAAAATCAGGTCTCATTTGATCCTCACCTTGCGGTGAGTCAGCTAGGTGGCACAGTGGATGGGCCTGGAGTCAGGAAACTTGAGTTCAAATCTGGCCCCAGACACTTTCTAGCTGCGTGACCCTGGGCAAGTCACTTAACCTTTCCTGTCTCAGTTTCGTCACCTATAAAATCGGGGGTCATGATAGCCCCTACTTCCCAGGGTTATTATGAGGACTAAATGAACTAATAATTGTAAAGCACTTAGCATAATACCAGAAAGTGTTACATAAATGTTAGCTATTATTCCTCTAATGGAAACCTTCAATGACCTAGTTTAAAACAAGGTCTGATGGTGGAATGTCAGGCACTGTGACAAAGGTAATGGTGACCAGATTTTTAACAGCAGTGAGAAGGGGGCTTCCTAGAGCCTCTCCCTTCCCACTCCCTGCTCAAGCTGCTTTCTTTAGCCCGACATGAGCTGTCCAGGGAGAGGAGGAGAAGGAGAGGGATTGGGGTGCAGCGGTGGGGGCTCACCATCTGGAGTATGATCTGGGTGCACACGGCCTTCCTCTTTACGGCTGCTAAGCTACTGGCAAACGTCTTCCTCACACAATTGACCCTATTCAAGGCCTGCTGGGAGCAGCCCTCCATGCCGGCCACTGCCCGGCAGACTGGGGGCACTCTGGAGCGAGGCAGGAATAAGCTGCTGAGGTCCTCCCTGGGGAGAGAAAACGTACGGCCATCACGCGGCTCCATGGAGGAACCGGAGGGAAGGACGGAGGATGAAGGATAGCAAACACCCCAAGCCAAGCAGGAAACATCCCCCCCTCCCATGCCACACCCTGTCCCCAGCCTCAGAAGGCTCCATCACCATGGAGGACTCTCAGGGTCTCCGGTGGTCATCACCAAGGCAAGTCACATTGTAGGAGCTTTACATCATGAAAAATGTTTTCTGTTACAGCATCTGCTTACAGAACATCTCAAAGTGTTTAACAGTCTACAACTTTCTTTACCATTTCCAGAGATGTCCTTACAGCCACCTTGGGAAGGAGAGATTGTAAGTATTGTCACCTGAACTTTACAAAGGAAGAGCTTGAAGCACAGAGGGCCAGAACTTCAGCACACATGTCTGTGCCTCAGTTTCCTCCTCTGTAAAATGGGGTGACAATATTTGTAATCTCCCTTTCTGAGGGGGCTGTAAGGAAATCTCTGTGAATTGGCTGAGCGAGGTCTCAAATGCAATCCCCCTGATTTAAGTCCAGCCTCCCTCTATGAACGACCACAGAGGAGTGAGACCTCAGACCCTGGTTAAGCAATCCCGACTCGGGCTCAGAGGAGGTAAAGGTATCATCCAAAGTCACTCAGAAAAAAGTCACAGCATGAGCTCTCAAGGTGGGTAGGGGGTCCGCATGGGATAACAGGGTTAGGGTTAGACTACACGATAGAGCACTAGCAAATGTCAGATTTGGAGTCACAAGCCCCGGGTTCAGATCTCGTCTCAGCCACTTACTGCTTGGGTGACCTTGGGCAAATCACTCCACGTCCTCATCCCCAAAATAACAGGTTGAATTCAATGACCTCCAAGGTCCCTTCCAATTCTATATATTAATGATTTTTAATCACTCTGGGACTCAGTTTCCTCATTTGTAAAATGGGGGGCAGTCCCTAAAACCCCTGTCAACCCTAGATCTATCCAATCATCTCTCTGAGCTTCAGGTTCCTCATCTGTAAAAGGAGGCTTGGCCTTAGTTTCCCCATTTGTAAATTGAGTCATGATTGAACCAGATGGTTCACCTAAAGTCTTTCCTAGTTCTAGATTTGTGTTCCTGTGACCTCTCTAAACTTTTTTTTTTCATCTGTAAAATGGAGAGGTTAGTTTAAATGGTCCCCAAGGCATCTTCCATCTTTAATCCATGATGCTATTATTATAGTGGCACCCAAGCCCTACTACTGCACTGGCTCTCCACTAGAGAGACAAAAGTCTTACATCTCCTACTAGTGCAGGGTGTGTCCCTCCCATAGTATGTAAGTGCCTTGAAGGTAGAAATTGGTTCTTTTTTTTTTTTTTTTTTTTTTGGTCTTTCTATCCCTGGGGCTGAGCCCAGTACCTGGCATACCGCAGAAGCTTACTAAATGGCTGTTGACTTGACCTGGCTGAGCTATCAGAGGGTCCAGACCATGACCCAAGCAATGTCAGCAACAACAAAGACAATAGCAATAACACCACCAACCTTTTCATCCTGACCTGGGGTGTGAGAGCTCCAAGTGAGAAAATAAACTTCACTGAGGCAAAATAAAAACTCACCTGGAGCTAGAGTCCTATCCAGTTAGCTGCCTAGAACATTACAAGGTTAAGTGACTTATCCAGAGTCACAGCCTGTATATGTCAGCGGTAGAATTAGAACGCAGGTCTTCCAGACTCTCAGGCTGGTTCCCTAGCCACTGCTTCACACTGCCTCCTAGTGGCACGATAGTGGACATTCACATGCCATGCACCTTAATACCTTATCACCTTGACTCTCTGTGGCAATCATGGGAGTACAGGGATTATTATCTCCATTTACAAATTCAGAAAGTGAGGCTCAGGGCAGGTAATTGATTTTTGTCCATAACTAGACAGCGAAGAAGAATCAGAGGTTGCTCTCTCTCTCTCTCTCTCCATATATATATAATATATATATATATATATATATATATATCTGTCTCTGTCTGTCTGTCTGTCTCTCTCTCACACTCACACACACACACACAGAGTATCATACATCTAGAGCTCAAAGGGACCTTAGAGACCTTCTAAGTTCAACTTCCTTATTTTACAAATGAGGAAATGGAAGCCCAGACTTGCTGAAGAATTCACACTCAAGTCTTGGGACTGAATTCAGCCCTCTTTCTACTGCACATCTCAACCCAGTTCCATCATGACTCTGAGTCCAGCCCACTTTATTGTCTCCTCACAGGTAAGGTTTCAAATACCTCCTCTGTGTTACTACAGACAACCCTTTGTGCCTCACTTTCCCCATCTGTAAAAATGAGGAAGTTGACTGGGTAATCTCCAAGGACCCTATGAAAAGAGCAGAGAAAACCTACGCACTGATAAATTCTAAGATACGCCACGTCCCAGCCAAAAGGAATCAACGGGTGGACCGAGGCTCCCACCTAGCCAAGATTTGATCATGCCCACAGATTATAATTAGCCCTCCTCCTTCTCTTCCTTGGAAGACATGATACATCTCCATCTCCTGCCCCAAATGGCTATTAGAGTCGTTAGGAAAATGAGCCTTCTCTAAATGAGCCAAAGGTGTCTTAATAGCAAGTTGGATGGATGGCAGATGCACAGAGACTAACAATGCCTTGGTTCACATTTCATTTGAAATGCAAGCATAGCAAGGCTGCGAGGTGAGGTGATTAGTGCTAGGACGCAGAAGGGTGGGCCCTAATGGGTAGCGATTCCTACAGTCTCAACTTGATAGGGTCAGAGGTCCGGAGCGGGAGTGTGACATGTCTGAAGGCATACAGTCAGTGACAGGTGAGATTGGAACCCAGGTTTTCCTGACCCCGGGCCCAGAGTTCTGTCCACTGAGAAATCCAGTGACCTTTGTTACTCTAGAGGGAAAGATCTCAGAGAAAGAAAGCCACTGCCTCCACACCAAAGGAGCCAATCTTGTGACCCAATGCCCAGGAATCATGTTTCAATCTCAAAGACAGCCTAGGAGACCAAGATTCTAGCACTGGCTTTGTAAAACTAGCTTGCTGAGTGGCCTCAGTTTTCCCCTTTGTAAAATGAGGCTCTGGACTAGCTCTCTAAAGTCCCTTTCACCTCTGACATTCTCTCTGATATTCACACTGGCAGCTCCCCCTGGCCTCCTTCTACCCCTCTGGAGTTACAGCAGCTGTGGTTGGCCACGGGCACACAGGGACAAAATGAGACATTCATCCGATGTGACAAGCATTTAGTAAGTCCTTGGGCCATATGGCAGATGCCATCCTTCTGCAAATACCCACCCTGTGAGAAGGCCCAGGTGGCCTTGTCTTGGTTATTGCTCCATTCCTCATTGAGGGCAGAGACCAGAGGTTCCTCTCTGTCTTTGTATCTCCAGCAATCGGCACCTAACACGTGCTTAACAGACATGGTGATTGATGGATGTATTTTCTGTGCTTACATCTGTACATTTCTGCTCTTCCAATAGAACAGAAGCTCCCTGAAGGTCTGGAGTCTCTGAACTGTTTCATGTGGCTATATCCTCAGTGCCCAGTGCACAGTCAGTACTTAATAATGGCTTGTTGATTGCTGTCCTAACCCCAGGATACAGCAATAGGAGGATGTATGTTTCTTGAGGCCAGGGGCCACTTTGTTTTTCTTTCTAGATCTGTCACCTGGCACATAGTGGGCGTTTGAGAAATGCTGGTTAGCTGGTTGGTTGATTTCTCTTTGAAATAGTTCTCTTTGGCCACAGAATGTGGATCCACATTATTAAAGATGGGATTCATCATGCTACAAAATGGTGTGAGTTCTACCTGTCATCTCTCTCTCTCTCTCTCTCTCTCTCTCTCTCTCTCTCTCTCTCTCT